TTTGTGCAGGCTAAGTCTTTTTTTTTTTCTGGCACTAAATTTAATAGTGAGCTCCTTTAGTGAAATTTTCATTTTTGTTATTGTACTTTAAATTTCAGAATTTCCATTTGATTCTCATTGTCCCTCTGTTTCTCTCTCTCTCCTACTGGGGTTTGATCTCAGGGCCTGTGCTTGCTTGGCTTGCTCATTCACCTGGCTCTCTACCTCACTAGATCCAGCCTCCAGCTCATTTCCTTTTCGGCTCCAAAATAACCAAGACTTTTCTGCCATGGTTGACTTTTAAACCATAATCTTCTGGATCTCAGCCTCCTAAGTAGCTAGGATTGTAAGTCTGATCGATCTGCACCAAGCTCATTTCTCTCTTTTTTAATATTATTTTTTTCTATCTGATGTGATATTGACAACATATCTTACCTTGCTTCTTTATAATCATGGCCTTTTTGGACATGTTTCTTGAAGGTTTTGTTCAATCTGACACCTGGTTGCTGGGTAGGCATTTCCTTTATCCATACTTTCTCCAGTATATGTTTGACTTCCTAGTTCCTTGGCACGTCTTTGCTGCTTTATTGGACATTTTAGTAAATAATATAGTGGCAATACTCAATTTTGCCCATCTCCCTCCCCTGTGGTTGTTCGCATGGTGACTGCTGAACTAGTATAGTGAAGTCTATTTCCCTTCCCCACAGGGCTCGGCCTCTGATGTGGAGCATTGTGGAGCCCCTCCTGCTGTCAGGCTGCCCTATCCTATTTTTAAACCTTAAAAAAAATCAGGACTAGGCCTTTGAGTCTGTCAAGTGACAGACTCAAAAGCTGCTGCTTTTGATGTGATTTTGTGGTAAACAAGCATTTGAAGTGAAAATATTAAATGGAAATATTTACTCCTATAGTTGTCAAGCACGTGCATATTCTGCTAATTTGCATTTCTAAGTTTAGGAATTTACTCTGGATTACTGCTGTACTGAATTTGCTTTCTTATTGAAAAATTAATTTCTGTCAGAGAAAAAGCTCACTAGTGTGTGTGTGTGTGTCTTCACTTACCTGCATACCTTAATCACCGTTGGGATGTGAAAGAACACATCTCGCATACAAAGGAAAAAGGAGTTTGATGTCAGTAACCTGACCGGCTACCTCATGGGCAGAGTAGCAGCTGGGTGGGGCTATAAGCACAGTTTTATAGGGCTGGGTTCATGTGGAATGTGAGAGTGGGAAATTGCGTTGTGAAAGGGGTTAACAATTATAGTTGTGGCTACACAAACAAGGGAGAAGGAAATTGCATGCTATTTGAGATTGCAGCTACCTGTGTCACCTGTTTTCAGGTTAAAGGCTGCATCACCTGTTTTCAGGGAAAGCCAGTTTTGTTTTTGCCAAAGGTCTAAGGTGGCAGTCTGGGTAAGAAGATAGAGGAAGTTAGGCTAACAGCATGAAGACAATTTTTTTTTTTCCTTTAGTAGTAATTTAGAATGTTTGCTATTATTTTCTAGTTTAGAGGAAATGGATAATGCTTGTTATGTAAAAGTTTGGAGTAATTTTGATCCAAACAATTGTTTGAATCTTATTTTGACAATCTGTGAACACTTTCCAATATGCTTAGTTACCGAATATTTAACTTTCCTTTTCCTTTTAATGATTATTTTGGTGTTTTATATTTTTAGAGCTAAATCTTGGGAAAACAGAAATAGCATGGGCTTTGCAAATCTGAATTTGAATTCCAACTGCATCTCTTAGTAGCTGGGTGACATTGGACATATAACTTCATTACTCTGGGCCTTAGTTCCTGTTCATGACAGAAGGACAAATATTTGTCTCAGAAGTTATCTTATGGACAAAAGGAAAGTGCCATATAAAGCATGTTCTATGAGTCAGGCATACTTGTGATCCTTGCGAATAAGTTTGAGATCATAGTAACACAGTTCGAAGCCAGCCTGGGCAGACTAATCTGTGTAGCTCTTATCTCTGATTATCCAGTAAAATGCCAGACTGAAGCATTATGCCTTGAGCAAGCAAACTTAGCAAGAGTGAAAGGCCTGATTTCAAGCCATGGACCTAGCACAAAAAAAAGCCCCCACAAAAACCACAACAAAAATCACTCTCCATGGTGACAGGCTATGTTGTCAATACCCAGCATGTCAATACTCATTGCTTTGACAAAATAGATTATTTCACACAAATTAAAAATAATTATAATTATCTGTGCAAAATGTCTTTTCTATTATTTGCACTACTCTCTTCTCCTTTTTAAAAAAAGTTTATTGGTTTTTTAAAAATTAGATTTTGCTGTTTTGACTATTTGTGAGCCTTTTAGAAAAAAAATCATTGGTTGTATTAATTATTTCTTTTAGTGTTTAATCAATTTAATTACTTTGTCACACTTACAGTTTTGTAATTTATTATAATTATTTTCTACTCATTTCCTTGTCTTGTATAATAAGGTAAGGTTTTGTTGATTTTCTTAATGAAAACAAATAAAGCTATGAACTTTTCTCTAAACTTTGGATTGACCAAGGCCTCTAGACTAGATGATATATACCATCATCAGTCATTTCAAATTGTGTTATTCGTCTCTAAGCAATTGATTAGAGCTGCATCTTGGAGTAGACTAAAAGTATAAAAGTAGAGATGAGGAGAAGCCATTATAGCCACCAGTTAGAAGGCTGTAGTCAACTATCTAAACTAAGAACAGAATTTCTGGGGCCTAGAAATAACATCAACAAATACTAACTGAATTTCTCTATGTCCTGAGCACTGTCCTCCTCACAATAAATTTACATTTATGTTCCTAATCTTCACAACTATGTTGTAACATTTGTCTTATTTCCTTACTCCTGCAGTGAAGGCATTGAAGTAGTTGAATGACATACCCAAGAGCACAGAACAAGTACAATTTCTCAGGGTTGCTAATTTGGCATTCTCTCCAGTGCTATGCCACATTACAACTTTATAACTTTATATTTCATATCTTATTTAAAAGGAAAATGTTATTATCTGGATTTTCAGTGTTGAGCATTGTTGTCTTCTAATTAGCTTTATGTGTTTAGTAATGGGTTGTGCTTGTTTTAAAATGTGACGTAAGATCAATTAGCCTGAAAGAAGACATGGGCATTGGTGGCAATATTTTTCAAATACATAAAAATGTTCAAAATGGTGGATCTTATTGATCTATTTTACATGACTATATAAGTCCAAGCCATGTGAGATAATTATGTAGAGTATGTATTAATAATAGCTATGGGCAATAAAATACTATACAACATTATTTCAATGAATCTTTATTATAGTCACATGAGGTAGCATTTTTCCCCTTGGTCATAAATTGGGACATTACCATGTCAAAGTGTCAAATGACATATCAAATTGCAGAAACAAAAAGATGTATACCCAATAGTTACCAGCAGGTCATCAGACTTTAAAATCCAAGATTTTATCTTGGAAGCTATAGTATGGCAGAATATAAATCAAACTGTAAGCAAACTATAGCCAGGCCTTTGCTTAATGTTGAGGATAAATCCCAAGATTTAAAGGAGGAGGTAACAATGCTTGATAAGAAATGTACTCATTACCTTGCTCATGTAACTGTAACCCCTATGTACAGTACAATAAAAAGAACTTATTAAAAATCCCAAGATGTAATGTCTTAGATGATTTTTAATTATGTAAACATCATAATGTTTTTTTCTTTCTTTCTTTTTTTTTATCATTCAACAGTTGTACAAAGAGGTTTCAATTTAACATGTCAGTTCAGGAGTACAACATATCTTCATCAGTGTAACCCCTTCTATTATTCTCCCTATCTGTCTCAACCTCACTTATTATAACTATTTTTCCACCCTTCCTCTCTTCATTCATCTTCTCCCTCCTCCTTTTCTTGGCCTCACCCCTAACACTTCAAGCTCCCCATTCCTGGAATTCATTTTGTTATACTGTAGGTTGGTTGTTCAAAGGAGTTACACTATTGAAATTCTCCCCTGCATGTACCATATTTCAGTTAATACATTTGTACAGTTAACTTCAGCTAATATACTTGTTAATACACATGTGCATATGATCCTTGTTTATATATGTATATATATGTTTATAAATTAGATCTACATTCCATATAGGAGAGAAAACATTCATTTTTAGACTGACATACTTCATTTATCATAATTTTGTCCATGTCCATTTATTCCAACAGTGTTCTTAACACATATGTGAATGGCACAGGTCTATCAATGTGGTTTTCTACAGCTTCGGTAAATACAAGGTGTAAGATGTTGCCTCCAACATAGCAAGACATGCTGCTTTACTTTTTGTAAATAGAAGAATGCTTTAAATTTATCATAAATATTTAGTCATATATTATTACTAAATATCAAGTATTATGCATGATGTGTAATTTTTTTTACTATGAATGGCAGCTCAATATATTTATCTACAACAGGATCACCACGGCAGATGAGAATTGAATTGCATTTATCTGGAGATGAGAGTCTTGCAAACTTTTCTGCCTGGACTGGCTTTGAACCTTGATCCTCAGATCTCAGCCTCTTGAGTAGCTGGGATTATAGTGATGAGCCACCAGTGCCTGGAAACATATAAGGTTTTTGGCCACTGAAAGAATACAGAACAAGTTTGTGGGTGAATAGAGAAATCTTTTATCATTTATCATTTCTCTTCAAGAGCAAGATTTTGTGTTCATAGATTTTGTACTTAATGGAGGGAAGACATGATTCATTTCAGGTCTTCCTTGGCGGGAATAACTCCTAACTAACTCTGCTGTGCACATGAAGAAGTCTAGCTGTGATTCAGTATCAGTTTTCAAGGTGAACAAATATCAAAAGCTCTGTTTCCAAGCTCATTGTTTTGGTTGACTCATTGCTATGCAATCTAGGCAAACTATAAAATTTTTATATGCATCAATTTCTTTGCCTGCACAATGGGGATACTGAGACTATATGCTCTGTGAGATTATGCTGTGGAAATGAAATGAAGGCTGTGAAAGATTTTATAAACTGGTCAGTGCCATGAAGAAAAATGGAGTTATTATCATTTTAACAGTGATGTTCTGCCAGGGCCTGGACTCCAGCCAAAAGGAGATTGACTCAGAAGCAGGTTTGTAGGGGAGCTAGAAATCGCTGGGGCATTGCTAAGGAAACTAGCAGAGAATGATACCTAACTGAGCCCCATTCTTATCTGCCTACTGCAGAGCATCTACTAAGAGCACAAACAGTGTGAAGGACCAGTCGTGGATAATTTAGAAAAGAGATAACAGATTCCATTTAAGGACGGAGAGAAAGTGGGAGCCAGCTCCAAAGAAGGAAAGTTGTTTCTCTTGAATGCAAAGAGGAAAGCGCTTCCTGAACATTTCTAATTGACATGTGCACCACCATCTGGAAGGCAGAGGGAGGGGCTGGATCTCAAGTTTCCTTTCAGAAGGGGAAGCCTTGTCATTGGCATCATTTAGATATTAGTAAGGAGGTGGAGTTGAGTAGCATAAGCCCTGGGACTCCCTTAGGGCTCAGCTAATGGATTCCACTGTCAACTTCTCTGCTGAACATAATAAATAAGTTTGGGGGGGCGGGGTAAGAAATTAATCTGGTGGCCCTGAGAACTAAAAATTTGAAAAATCTGTCACCTTCCCATTGTGAATGATCTCTTGTATAATCCCTTTCTCTGCCATAGGTATTTCTTCTAGTCTAGTCTTCCTTTTGTGACAGACTGTTATTTCTTTGTATGATGTGCTGTCACTGGGATTTGAACTCAAGGTCTGAGCATTATTCCTTAGCTTTTCAATACTAGCACTCTACTGCTTGGGCCACAGTTCCATTTCTGGCTTTTTTGGTGGTTAATTGGAGATAAGAGTCTCACAGACTTTCTTACCTGAGCTGACTTCAACCTGGGATCCTCAAATCTCATCCTCTTGAAGAGTTAGGAGTACAGGTGTGAGCTGCTGGCATTGGTCTAGGATGGATTATTTTTACTAGTTCTTATACGTATGAAATAGAAACCTAGTTGACTTGCCAACCTCCACGTTTCCTAATGGAATTTATCATCTGTTCTCATTTTCCAGAAAGTTCCTCCTCTGCATTAGAACTTTATTCCAAGGTATCTCTAGTCAAACTATGTCTATTTCTGTCTTCATAGAAAATCTATGTGCTTCAAGATTGTTTTTGTCTCCTCTCCTCCATTCTCCTACCTAGCATATTGTCAACAAAACTGACCATATCCACCTCCTTACATGTGCCCAGCCCCCTTGATCCTGCTGGGCCTTTTCAGTTGGACCCTTTATCTCATCTTTCTATGTGTTTGGTCATACTACTATGCTACAGTCATTTTAATATTTCTTCCATAAGCTACTAATGACTCTTTTGTAAAAGGCTGAATCATGCATGCCATTTATTTTCTTGGGAGTGTCTGAAAACTCCCAGTTCCCCAAAGAAGTGTGCTTGCTTCTCTACAGCATTTCAGTGAGTTCTTTTCAGGGCAGATACTTGGAACTGTGTGGTCAAACTATAGTGTGAAGTGGTGCTTAATGTAATGTGGTCATGAGTTAAGCTCCTGTCTTGGTCAAAATTCCCCTATGACAAGGAATAATTGGAGGGCATGCAGAGGTTTGTAATTTAGAATTGTTTTAAAAATATTTGTCTCAGAATCCCAATGGTCATAAACAGCTGTTTAAGTGTCAAATACTTTTGGCTTGAGTAATTGGGTCTAGCACAGGTGCATGTGATGAATAAGAGCTGTGTTAAATAAACAGAATAGAATGTCTATGTACTGCAGGCATGCAACGGAAATTGAACTTGGGATCACCATTACTGAGAAATAAATAGGTGGGGTTGTTACATCAAGCTGTTTATTGTCTATTTTTAAAACTGGATCACATTCAAAATTATATATGTTTTGCTTAGTAGCCTGAACATTATTAACTATTGTTTGCTATTTATAGCTTCAAAAAAAAGGCTTGGAAAACAAAAGATTCAGCTTCTCAAGATAGATAGTTTTGCTAGTGTCTCTATTTCTAAATACTCTTTTCAGATAGGGAATGACATACACTGGATGTAAAGTCTCTTGGGTGATAGACAACCTAGATGTTATGGAGAGAGTAAAGAAAAGAAACCGAGACCACAATAACTGATCTTGGTTATGACTAGAGATAGACTTAGGTATATTCTCATGTGCTTAAAATATCAAAGGGATATATAAATATATGTCATTATATATATTTAGTGTATGTATAGTATATATATAATGATGGACAGTGGTTGTTTTGGGAACATGTTACTTGTGTGACAATGTGACACCTGATTACTCTTTTAAATATCTTTTCTATATGACGTTTATTTGGCCATGAGGATGTATTATGTTTATTTTGAAAAGTGATGTTGTTAATTGAAAATAAAAAGGCAAATGTTACGTAATCCATAATTCCATTTTAAAGTAAATATGTATGTGCACATAGGTGTATATATATATATATATATATATTTATTTAATTAAGCACCTATTTTTTCAAGGTTTTTTTTATTGTAAAGGTAATGTACAGAGGGGTTACAATTACACAAGTCAGGCAATGAGTATATTTCTTTTAGGACAGTGTCACCTCTCACTCATTTTCTTCTAGTCTTTCGCCCCTTTCCTTCTCACTCCCCCAGTTGTATAGTTCATTTCTAACATGGTGTCTAGTGAATATCACTGCTGAATTGCTTCATCTTGTCCCACCATTTCTGTGCTAGTATATAATTATCTGTATGGAGAAGAGAATGCGTTGAAAGAATATGTATACAAAATTGTTAGTAATATTTGTTTTTTCTAGTGTGAAGGATTTTAAAGACATTTACTTTCTGGGAAATCTAAGCTATTATGTTCTAATCTTAATCACAAAATAATGAAGTATATTTCTTATCAATTTCCTAAAATACAAACTTGATGCAGTTTATCATATGACATTAAGAGGGAATTATGTTGAAAATGAAATCAGAGAAGTGCCGTAGACAGATTTAATTTCATGAAATGGCATAAAAACAGGATTTATATGGACCTGGGGAAAGTCTGGCTAACCACTGATACCAGAATATGGAAAACAATCCTTCCAGTTAAATTGAATTGCTCTGAAAGCTTATTATATGAATATTGTCATGTTACATTAGTGTTCTAAATCAAACATATTTCTCATAAGAATTTATTTAAAAATATGACTATATGTTTGTGAAGTCCAATGATCTACTGCATTGTTAGAATCTGCTTCCACTCAACTTTTTACTTGATCTCATTAAATCTTGGTTTTCCCATCTGTGAAATGAGGGTGATAAAAGTTTGTTCGAAAAGCTGTTGTATGGAGAAAACATGATAAACTTACTGTTTGAACAGGGTCTGCAGCAGTATTAGTATCTGATATATGTGATAACAAGGATGATGAAGATGATGATGATGAAGATGAAGATGTTGATGATGAACACAAAGATGATAAAATGGCCTTCCAGGATGCGGGTACAGGCTTATCACAGGAGGATGCCCAAACATCCTAAAGACAAAGTTAATAGCTTATCCTGGTCTTCTCTTGCTAACCATTTTCCTAGGAACAAGAAGGAGAATGCTCCATCTTGGGAGCCATACACTTTGCAATAAATGTGACAAACATGTTTACTTTCCTGGCTCATTAAAACTTTCCATGAAACTGGTACTTGAAAGGTGGAATAGGAGGTCAGAGTTGAGGGGAGAAGACCGATGAAGATAGATAAGGGGAGAATGCAGTAAGAATATTCGATGCATTACCCATAAAACTAGGGAAATTGAAGGGAAGGGTTGGGTTGGATGGGAGAGAATGAGGAAAAGGGTACATCAATCAAGATGCATTGTACATACAAACTGATTTGTTAAATGCTAACCTCTCCGTACTACTACTTAAAGGTAATAAAATACGCTTTAAAAAAATCTTTCCAATTACATGGACAATAGTATGCATTCAGCCTTTGATCCCTGTGAATCTTTAAGAGATATGAATTTTATGTCTGGCATAACTGGCCTGTGTGAATGTCACATTACATACTTGAGTATGCAAGAAACGTCACATGGTTTCCTTTGAGTCAAATGAATCTACCTCTGAGCCTCCATATTGACAGAAGGACAGGCCATTCAATCCCTCTCCTCTTCAGAGGACTTTTGTGTTCCTTCCCCTAGAGTGATATAACAAATCCTTTGCCTCTTATCTCCCATGCTACCCTCTGATATGTACCCTATTCACACTTGTATGGTTCTTTAACTGAATAGCAAGGACTTTATATGAGAAGTTTCAAGGGGAAATCTTTGCTGAGACTAGATTTTTCCTCTGATAGGTTGCCCTGAGTCTCTGTCTGCTGCTTGCCAATGGTTCCAGGGACCAAAGCTCTCATTCTCCCTACACTTGGTAGAACATACAGATCCATGTCTTCTTCCCCAAGTAGCTGAGCACTTGTCTAGCAGGCAGGAGGTCCATTTCAATCCTCAGTATTACAAAAAAAAAAAAAAACAAAACAAAACCAAAAACCCATTACAAAGTGTCAAGGGCTAGGACCAGAGTAGGCTTTTAGGATCACCTAGCTGTAGTATGGGCAGATTTTACTTCTAAGAGGCACTCAGGGAGGTTATTATGGTTTTAAGCAGTCTTACTGTCTATAATATATGTCAATGAGGCATTTATTTGGGAGACCTGGGGTAACTCACAAAATATCAAAGAAAGCTGACATAGCAGGCCTTTTAAAGGGCAAGTTTAGACATCCAGGGAACAGGATTGTAGGCGCAGGTGTACTTGGTTTGTTCACGTTATCCTAACACAATCCCATAGATTGGGAAGCCCAGATAACAGGAGTTCCTTTTCCTACACTTACGGAGGGTGCAGTCCAAGAGGCTGGCGAGGTTGGCTTTTGGCATAGCCCTTCTTCTTAGACTACAGATGGCCATTCTCTTCCTGACTCCTCACACAGCCTTCTTTGTACAACTCTGGGTGGGACTTCCTTTTCTCATAATGACTCCAGTCCCACTGGATGAGCACTCCACTCTTCTTGAACTCATTAGCCCCTTGAAGTTTCCATCTCCAAATACAGACTGTTCTGATCATATTTTTTTTATTGTGAAAATACCATACAGAGGGGTTACAATTACATGGGCAAGGTAATGAGTACATTTCTTATCAAGCATTGTTGTCTCCTCCTTTGTTTCCCATTCCCATCCTTTCCTATCCCCCCATCCCCCCACCCAATCCTTCTCCCCCACCAAAGTTATAAAGTTCGTTTTTCGACATAACAACTTGTATATCATATTTGTTTCACGATGATGTGAAAGTCATATTCATTCAGTAGGAAGTATACTTTGAATTTTGATCATTTCCCAGCTAAAGGTGGCCCAGGATTCTCTTAGGCTGATGGGCAATTGCCAGAGTCTCCTCACCAGTCAGCCTCACAATCATGAGGATGAGCAACGGATACTCTTTGTAAACCTGCGTTGCTGTGCTAAGATGCACCACCATTCACAAACAGAAAAGGGGTTGAGAGGAGAGCTGCTCCGGTTGATGCTTCCAAGCAAATCCAGGCAGAGTTTGGACCTCAATCTTGACTCTCCAGCTCCTGTCCTGAGTTTCCCCTGCTTTTGATATCATCATCACTCGGCAGGCACCCCATTGCAAGCAAGTTTCCACTTAGGAACTTCACTACATGGCTCACCAGGATATTTTTAGGTGCCAGGCACATTTCAGGGATTTTATAAAAGCAACAATATCCAGACTGTCTCAAAGAAAAACTGCAAACATTGTGGGGAGTGATTATCACTCATCAACTGAGATGAGACATCCTGCAAAACTGTTGCATGGCACTGATCTGCTGAATGATTAGAAGTGAATGAAACCTGGAAGATTCTGCCCATCAGTTCTTACACTTGGCTTCACACCAGAGAAAACTGTGGATTCCCACTTTGCCTTTGGAGCTGATTGGCTTGCGTTGGCCCAGCCACATGACCACATTAAGGCTGTTTAAGGCCTCCAAGCTAGTATCCTCATCTGCAAGATGGTGACAATTCTCCTTTCAACCATACAAGTTTTTCTTTTTCTAAGAATTAAGCAAAATTCTAGTAGATAGTGTTTAGCATAGTGACCCTACAGCTCATAAATACTCAGAAGTGTTAGTTGTCAGTTAGATTCTTTTCCCGATAATATAGCTCGTCTTCTTATTTTAAAGGTATCAGATAGACTTTTCGGTAAATGGTGCTGGCAAAATTGGTTTAACATTTATAAAAGATTAAAGCTAGATTCTTAAATATCACCCTGTATCAGAATCAACTCCAAATGGATCAAAGACCTCGGAGTCAAAGCAGACACCCTGGAAAACATTACAGGAAGGAATAGGAGAAACTCTAGGGCTTCTTGGCACAGGCCGAAATTTTCTTAATAAAGACCCAGAAACACAACAAATCAAAGAAAGGTTGGACAAATGGGATTGCATGAAACTGCAGAGCTTCTGTATGGCAAAGATCATAGCTACCAAAATCAACAGAAAGCCCATGGACTGGGAGAAGATCTTCAGTAGCCATACAACAGACAAGGGTCTCATATCTAAAAAATAAAATAAAATATACTTGGAACTCAAAAAATTAAATCCACCAACAACAAATCTTCAGAGAAACAACTGCCTGATAAATAAGTGGGCTAAAGACTTAAAGAGAGACTTCTCTGAAGAGGAAATAAGAAAGGCCATTAGACACATGAAGAAATGCTCAACTTCTCTAGTCATAAAAGAAATGCAAATCAAAACAACATTGAGATTTCACCTCACCCCAGTTAGAATGGCTATAATCAAGAATTCTAATAACAACAGATTCTGGAGGGGATGTAGCCAGAAGAGAACCCTACTGTATTGTTGGTGGCAATGTAAACTTGTTCAACCACTTTGGAAAGTAGTATTGAGGTTCCTCAAAAGACTCTACATAGAGCTCCCTTATGACCCAGCAATCCCACTTTTGGGAATTTACCCAAATGATCACAAACAAAACTACACTAAAGCTACCAGCACAACTATGTTTATTGCAGCATTATTTACCATAGCTAAGACATGGAACCAGTCCAGATACCCCTCAGTAGATGATGGATCAAGAAAATGTGATATATGTATACATACACACATACACACACACACACACACACACACACACACACACACACACACACACACAATTCTATAACTCCATCAGAAAGAATGCCATTGCCCCATTTGTTAGGAAATGGAAAGACTTGGAAAAAGTTATAGTAAGTGAAGGTAAAGTAGGCCAGGCCCAAAGAAACAGGTCCCATGGTTTCTCTTATTTGCGATAACTAGTATATGTCTAGGACAAACAGAAAAGGTCAAAAGCTATGTACACATGATCACATAAGATATTGTTAAGTGAAATGAATTCCAAGATAGGGACACAAGAGCTTTTATCTTTGGCTCTGTTGTTTTTAATGCATTTATAATGTACTATGTGATTTTTTTGTTTCTTTTGTATGTTCTTCCCCCACAGTGTTACCTCTGTTTTCACTGTATTTGAAGCTGGTGCCCTGCATCTTATATATACATTTTTATAATTTGGGGAGGGAAAGGGGAATAACAACATGCTTAAATAAGGATACAGGTTGACCCATTGTAACAATGAGATGTACAATACACTATATTGAAAACAAACAAGCTTTACAACTTCTCGGGCGGGTTGGGGGTGGCAGGAGTTGGGGTGGTGGGGAGGGAAGGGATGGTAGGAGAAAACAAAGGAAGAGGTAGCAATGATCGATAGGAAATGGACTCATTACCTTACTCATGCAACTGCAACCCCCATTTTAACAATAAATAAAAACATATGCATATATATATATATATAAGAAATTGAAAAAGAATCCATTCACATTTGCATCTTGTCCATCTATAACTGCTCAGTAGGATATGTTATAGAAGGCAAAGTCTCATAAGACTAGATATGTTACTTCATGAAAGCAGAATTTCAGAAGCAAATTGGAATTGATAAGCTCTTAGAATGAAAAGTATGTGATCAGAAGGCCTGCTATGAGATTTAAATCAAACAGGGCTTTATTGAACCTCAGAGAAAGCTGTTGTCCCTTTTGAGGGGGATTACTTCCTTCTGTTGGAAAGAGACAGTCCGCAGGGTCCTCATGTGTTCATCATTGTGAAAGAGGAGTCTGAAAAGCAGTAGTCTGAGAAGTAGAGGACGGATCACTGAGATTCTTTTCCTTCGTCTTTGCTTCCTCCAGTGATCTCAGGATAAAGCTGGACCAGGCAGTGGTTGCACAAGAAAATTTATGGCTGGCAGAAGATGCTTACTTCCTGTGATCCCATTAGGGACCAATTTCCAAGAAAACAGGTTATGATGATTAAGAAAATTGTGCCCTGATCAAATCTGAATGCAGATGGAATTGTGAATCATGCTTGTAGGAAAGGAGACGTTTTGTGAACAGGTGTTCATTGCTACTCAGTTTCTTTCACAGCTAGATACAACTAGATTTAGCATATAATGTTCATTTCTTTTAAGCTATTCTGCAGGTACTATGAGCGATTTTGACTTGCCAGATTTTCTTTTAGTTCCTCCTTAAAGCTTTAATATCTCTGAGGAGGAGGAGAGAGATACAATTATAAATACTATAAAAATATCTTGTTCAAGTGCTCTTTTAGGTTATTCTTGGAACTTACATGTGCTATAAAAGATCTCAAGAGTTCCAACTCTTAGCCAGACACCTGTGGCTCATGCTTGTAATCCTAGCTACTCAGGAAGCTGAGATCTGAGGATTGAGGTTCAAAACCAGCTCAGGCAGGAAACTTTTCTCTAATTAATCACCAAAAAGCTAGAAGTAGCAGAGTGTACTAGCTTTGTGCAAAGAAGCTCAGGGACAGTACCCATGCTCTGATTTCAAGCCCTAGAACCGACACCAAAGCAACAAAAAGATGATCTGCCCCTCATTTCTCTAGTCTTACTTCTCTTTGCTTTGCTGCTTTGCAGCAGGAGAGAAATGAGAATCAAGGCTCTTAGAAGCCCTTATGGCATCAGACGTTGGGGTTTGGATGCTAATTTGGGAGATGATGGACCCCATCAGTTTTTCTTTGATTTTTAGGTTTTTAAATAGATGGACTACTATACCTGGAACTCAAATTCCCCTACCTTGACCAGTGACTGTTTCATCTTCATAGGGGCAAAGTAGCTATACTGTATGGAAGTGAAGTTGTCCACAAAAGCTTTAGTTATCTGTTAGGAACACCAGCCAGAAAGCAGGCCAATCCCTGTGAATGTTGAAGGCTTGCTTTCTGGAACTGATATAATTCAACTGCCCTAAACAGTTAAGCTTGTCCAGCAAGCAGCAACCTTAACACTGACAATTTTATCTTCTCACAAGAAATGCTTTTCTATAATCCATGAGGTGGGAAATCTTTTCTCTAAAGGGCCAAATAGCAAATATTTAAGGATTTGTGAGCCTGTATTGCAGCCAGTAACTCAATTCTGCTGCTGTGGCATGAAGGGAATCAGCCTTTCAATTCATGTGGCTGTTCTGATCAAGCCTGTGCTTTACCATGTGAACCACACTTTTTAGCTTTTGGTTGGTTAACTGGAGAGAATATTCTCTCAGATGTTTCTGGCAGGGCTGGCTTCAAATCATAATCCTGAAAGTTTGCCTATATTTTATATCATGTTCATATGTCATGAAATGCCATTCTGTTGTGAGATTTTTTTCAATCACTTGAAAAATTAAAAAAAAATCAGTTCCTTTTAAAAAAAGGATCAGAAAAAGCTGGGCACCAGTGGCTCATGCTTATAATCCTAGCTACTCAGGAAGCTAAGATCTGAGGATTGTGGTTAAAAGCCAGCCCAGGCAGGAAAGTCTGTGAGACTCTTATCTCCAATAAACCATTCAGAAAATGGGAAGTGGCATAGTGGCTCAAGTGGTAAAGTGCTAGTCTTGAGCTGAAGAGCTGAAGGACAGCGTTCAAGCCCCATGACCAACAACAAAAAAAGAGAAAGTATCAGAATATGACAAGTCAGGATTCAGAAAAGATACTTGTACATCCATGTTCATTGCTACATTCTTCATAATATCCAAGTTGTGGAAATAGCTCCCATGCTCTACAATGGATGAGTGAATCAAGAAAATGTGGTACAATGGAACTTTGTTCATTTATTAGAAAAAATAATATTACAGGGAAATTAATGTACCTAGAAAACGTTATGTTAAGTGAAGTGAATCAGGCTCAGAGAGAAAAACAGTACATGTTTTCTCTGATATATGGAAGCTAAATTTAAAATACAAACCTGTATGATAACATATACAGTGTTTTATGAACGTACACATACACAAACTGACTTAAGGATAGTGTACTTAGGAAAGTTGTCCAATATTGTAACTTCTCTGAACAACTAATGAACACTATTTATCAATGTGAATACCGGGAAGCAGAAACAGGTGTTGGGGAAAGTACAATGGGAAGTACAGAGGGAGAAAGGATGAGCAAATTCAGGTATTATATTCAATATGTATTATGTAAAGAATGAACTATGTAACTTGAAGGTAGGCACAAGAAGAGAAATAATGATGGAAGGGGTGACATTGACCAAGATGGAGTACACTAACAACCTGACATGGAATTCTAACCTCTATGTACAATTTCTTTAAAAAAATTAAAATAGGTATCAAAACCAAGCATCAGGGCAGAACTTAGCTTGCTGTCCTTAACAATTTAATTCATTACTCTGAATTCTCTCTTTTTCACAGTTTAAATCGGGTAAGATGGTTTGCCATGACAACCTGGTCAGAGAGGAGCATTTTCCCAGGGGCAGAACTAGTGCATCCTTGCTCTCTGCTTTGTTAATTACTACATATTCTTTAATTATCAATGGACATTTCAATCTTTAGAAAATCCTTACAAAAACTTAGATTTAAATGATGTACTTTATAATTTCCTGTACTGCTGGGTAGTTGTGTTTATATTTATTCTGTTATGTGTTCATGCAATTACTGTCCATTTCCTCTATAGCACTCTAAGCTGTAGGAGAGTGGAATCTGGGTCTGTTTTGTCCATTTATCAGCTGTCTACTCAGCTCCAGCCAAATGCCTGGATACATAGCAGACATTTTGTAAATCTTTCATGGATGGAAATAAAATATGGTTTTCCTTTGCTTGTTTTCTGTTTTGCTTGTGCCCTAAAAAGAAGCAGATCCCCTAAGAAAATGTTCTTACATGGTCAGACTTACCTGTGGAGGCAACAGAATTTCTTGACTGGGTCTTAAAATGAGAGTAGCATAGGGTGTGAGTTGTGACATGTCCTTAGAGTTAGACCTGTACTAACTGTATGACTGTTGCTCACAGTTCACCAGATCCTTCTTCCTCATTACACTAATAATTATACATCTTTAGGAGCACGTGATTACTATTTGTCTTTCCCCCATGACTGCAGGGGCTAGTTACGTTTTGTCTAAAAATTGTCATAATAAGATATTCCAGATAGACATTAAGCTGGGAAGTTTCATTAAAGAAGAGAAATGAACTAGGGAAAAATGAGTCCATTAGGCACATTTGTTTGGAGCACAGATTTTGGCCAAGTTTTTTTTTTTAATCTCTTAATTTTGTCTAGTCCTTGAATTTTCCAGACTAATTTAAGTATGTCTGGCTCCCTGGCATCTAAGGGTTTAGAATCACTGTACATCTTAGTATAATTTTTTAAAATCAATGCCAGAGAAAGGCTGATAATTTATTCAACAATTATTTATGGAATGTACAATCTTTTCCTGAAAGAAAGGGTTGTGGTAAGCATACAGAGTGAAGCATGCTTGTCCCCATCTTTTCCAATCCCTAATCCGTTCTTGGCTTGTTCTCCATAACACAGCTCAGCACTTCCTTTAAGTCAAATCTTCTCTTGCCAAGTCAAATTTTCTAGTAAGGACGTTTACACTAACTTCTGGCCCTCTTGTCATGTATGCCCTGAGGAATTAGCATGAGTGAGGATGAGTTTGCCTTTGGGTTTCCTATTGTTTGTCCTTGTATGAAGTGAGACCCCCATGATAAAAGACAGTCCCAACATTGTGCAAAAAAACCCCTGCTAGTAGAGGAAAGAAATATATGAAGAAGGGCATTCAACTTGGCACTGGAAACTCTGGTATATCTTGGCTCAACCAAAGCATTGCTACATTGCCCTCCACAAGTCCTCTACATCTTAATTTCCTATAAGAAAAAGAAAATGAAAAGCTTGGATTAATGGTCTTTGGGGGACTTTTTCAGAGCTCAGATTCTCACATACTTGTTATTGTAAATCTGTAGTAAGACAACAAGGAGAAACACTAACATTGATGATTATTAGTTTATTTACTATCTCCTCTCGTATCCAAACTTGTCAATGCTTCACTGAAACAAGTTCAATGCCTGCAAAGAATCTGACTGAAAACATTTGGAGACAGAAAGGCATTGCAGCCATAACATTCTTTCAAGAGCAAAGGCTTCACCCTGCTCTTGAGTATTATTGAGGGGAACCGGGGTGGTGGTGGGAGATGGTTTCTCATTAAGTGAGCTCAAACAAGTTAATAGGCAGGGGAGATTTTCTGGTTCAGGATAGTTAACACATTTTTTTAGCATCTGTTACATTCTAGATACTAATATTTTTGTTCAAATAGAAAATTAAAAGAATTCTAACAGAGCAGGATGCTTAGCATAAGGGTAAAAGTATGCAAAGGAGCAATTAAAGGTGCGTTTTTAAAAACTTCGCTCTTGGCCCTACAGTGGAAGGCTAGTACATCTTTGCTTCCCTAAAGACTGTCTAGAAGCCTTCTTGGTCCAAAGGAAAGCTGTAGTCATTTCATGTCACTGCAGGTTCATTATACAAGGCAATAGAAAGGAAGGAGTTAGGACTGCCAAAGGGGGTATCAACATTTATTGGCCTGGAGGGAGGATGGTTCCTGAAATAATCATAAATAGACAAATAGTTTGTATAAGTGGGTTGAGGAAATTTTGCAGATGGACTTTAGGATAAAGTCACTTATTTCATTTGCAAGAGACTCAGTAGCCAAATTACAATAGTCATGAGCAACTTCAAGAGTTGCTGAAAGGTAGCAAGAGAAAGAGGATGTGCCAGCTCCCAAAGGAGAAAGGTAGAAGTTTCTAGTGAGTGGGGAAGGTTCAGTTTGTATGCAGGTAGAGAGCAAGTGGTAGAGGGAGGAAAGGAGAAAAGACCAAGCATTCATCTAATTTATCTTTTTACTGTTATACTTATGCCTCACAGCTTCCTCAAAAATCAGAATTTCTCACCTTCAAGAAAAGCCAGTTCCATCTCATTTTATTCTGTGCCCTGGTTTATTGTAGAATGAAATGGGGTTGAATGTATTTATTGATTGATGGGGCTTTTTCTCTCCTCCAGTTTTTTTTTCTGATCTTATATAAAAATCTTCACCCAATTGAAACATGAGAACCAGCCTAGATTACTTCCCTGTTCCCTCTCCCCATTCATAAAACATTTTTTCAAGCTTCTACTATGTGCCAGATCTGGTCTCACAAAATTTTTATGGGAGCTGGTGGTCCATTGGAGTGTAGACAACAAGCAGCTGATGGACACAGTGACAGAACTAGTTAGACGATGACCTGTGTTTAGGATGCAGGAAGGCTGTAGGGATAGCTTGGTGGAGCAGACAGTTGTAAAGAACTTGCTTGTTGAGATACATTTGAGCAGAGATTTAAAGAGTTGAGGGGATAGACTTGGAGAATATCACAAATTCTGGGTGAACTTGTCTCAGGCAGAGGAAGAGAAAAGCCTGAAAGAGCATGGACTGTGTTCAAGAAACAGGAAGGAGGTCAGCATGGTTTGGAACTGTAATGGGGCTGGAGTGCAGAAGAAGCGGGTTGGTAGGACTTTGAGGCATTGGACAGAAACCTAGTGACTAGAGAAAGCATCACAAAGTTTTAGCAGAGCACCGACATAGGTTCATTTGGCATCTATTTTCAAACTATATCTCAAACACGTCCATGTCTTCCCTTGTTTATTGTCAGCATCCTTCTGTAAACCACACCAGCTCTAACTCCATTTCTTGCCTTCCATAGTTTCTTTTCCTATCCTCTTAGATATTTCCTCATCGCAATCATGATGATTCTTGAAACATATATTGAACTAATAGCACATCCCTGCTCAAGATGTTTCAGTGACTTCGTGCTGCTGTTTGGGTGAAAGCAAAATTCCTCAGCATCAATCTTAGTCCATGTCCCCCAGTTCAGCTCTGCTGCAGCCCTGTGGAGCTGTGTCCCCATCAGTCAAACACCGACTCTCCGCCTCAGGCTCTTTGTCTTTTGTCTGGAACAGGCCTTCCCCCAGTGCCTAAGGGAACAATCCTCATGTCTCATCTTAGGAGCTTCTTCCCAAGAGATGCCTTTCCTACTTGTCTCTCCACAAGTCTCCATCACAGTACCTTGTGGGAACCTACGCTGATGCATGACTTCAGATCTTCTGGCTTGCTATTTAAAGATTTTGTTCCTCTTTCTAGACTGTGTATCACATGATGTTTGGAAAGTGTAACCTTACTCAAATAGTGCAAGTCCTTAGAAAGGCAAAATCAAAGCTCAACTAAATAAGCATTAGGAAATGGCTACTTGCAAGGGGTGGAGGTGGGGCTAAAGGGACCAAGTCTATGAATGAAGAGGATAAAGGGGAAAGAATGTAGTCAAGAACTCAATGCATATCTTACAGAATTCAGAAAAGTAAGGAAAGGGCTAGGGTGGGATGGGTAAAAGAGGTACATTGATCAAGATGCATTGTATTCATAAATTGCTCTGTTAAAGGGCAGCTCTTTCATATAACTACTTAAAGATAATAAAAAATACTAAACAGAGGGAGAACAAAAGGAATATCCTGACACTCTACTCGTGATTCTGTCTGTAGAACCTAGAATGGTGGTTGGTGCTCCGCAAAACCTGATTGAAGAATAAATCAAAGCAAGAGACAGATCACAGACCCAGTTCCAGGAGGCATTTTACGTGTGTGTGTGTGTGTGTGTGTGTGTGTGCGCGCGCTAGGTGTATGTGTGTGAGTTGCATATATATATACATATATATGACTTGTATTATTAGGATCTATGAATAAGCTGTGTAATTGTATAATTACCAAAGAATCATGATTTTTATAAGCTGTTTTAAACTTCTCCTAAGGCAAAAAAGGGCAGCGTGTATAATAAGAATACTTGAAATGGTGACATTCTTTTACTTTGTCAAATGATATTTTTAGTGTATTCATTTCTCCTCTAATTGATGCCACATTTATTTCAGTTCCCATGGGAACCTAAAGAAGGATGTTCCCCGATTTCTCAACCTTCAGGGTGCAATCACAGGAAAATGGACCATAAGGTGAGTCTTTAGCAGCTGCTTCAAAATGTGCTGTTCATCAGGTGGTTCAAACAGCCATAAGGGGAAATAAAGGAGGAGGCAACAATGCTTGATAAGAAATATATTCATTACCTTGCTCATGTAATTGTAACTCCTCTGTACGGTATTTTCACAATAAAAAAACTTATTAATAAAATAAAAAGGCAGGCAAATGTGAAAAAAACAGCCATCTCTTACTGGGAACTTGCTCTCTGTGAATTTCTACACTCAGCTCTGTAGTGAGGAAGGTGTGGGAGAGGCAATGATTATCATGGAGGAGAGGTGACCAGTGGCAGCAATGAATCACTTCATTATAGTGTCATACCTCTTACCTGGGCTTTTTATAGGGTATTTTGGGATAAAGAGATGGTGCCTACATTGTGTCTGAAAAATTGTCCTGTGGGGCTGGGAAGGTGGCTCAGTGGTAGAGTGCTTGCCTTGCATGCCTGAGGCCCTGGGTTCCATTCCTCAGCACCACATAAGCAAAAAGAAAAAAGCCGGAAGTGGCGCTGTGGCTCAAGTGGTAGAGCGCTAGCCTTGAGCTGAAGAGCTGAGGGACAGCACCCAGGCCCAGAGTACAGGCCCCACAACCGGACCCCCCCCAAAAAAAATTGTCCTGGGTTTAGCCAGATAACAGAGGTAAGGGAAGAGAGAGAAAATATATCTGATCTATTGTTTCCCTATTCCAATAAAAAACAAAAAGAGTTGACACACTAAAGGAGAGAGGAAATCAACCTCAGGAAAGTACAAATCACAGTCTGAACATTGCTGTGTCCATCTGTGAAAGGTTAAAACTGAGAACTTTGGCAGAAAAGAAGTTTTCTACCCCTTGGGTTTTCCCAGGGAAAAGGAGTCATATAGCAACCTTGGGGATATATTCAGTAATCTTATAGCATGATTGTGATCAAACGATATTATCTACAAGTAGGAAAATGTCATAATGAAATCCTTTATTTTATACAACAAATGTATGCTAATCAATTTTTAAACAAAGTGTCCCTCTGGAAATATGTATATGAGGTACAGGGGTAAATGTAGAAGTGATGTGCCTATCCAAAGTGAGAAAACCTGATCGTGTGGCTGCTTGGCACCTGTAAACAATAGGGGCATTGATGGTGCCTAAGGTCACCTGAATGTCAGGAATGGGCTTCATCAAAAGAAAATGATCCAGCCTCTGCAGAAAAACAAAACAAAAGCAAAAATCAACTTCTAAGTCTGTCTCAACAAGGATAGAATCCCCAGGACCTCCAAATGCTGTCTCTGCTTTTTCCCACCGGCTTCTTAGTCTGTACAACCCGCACCCCCTCAGGTTCTGTCCTAGACCTCTCTCCAGAAATCCTCATGTCCTTTGTAAAACTGTATCCACATCATTGTCTCTCCATCTTAAATCTTACAACCCCAGAAATCACAGGGAAGAGTCTCCTTCCAGGTTAGAGGACTTTCAAATGATAATTATTTTTATCTTGTCACCTACCCATTAAAAGAAACACTATGACCCGACTGTGTACAGACAGAATCCCAGGATGTAAGAAACAGAAGAAAAGTATGTACCTTCACACCATGCTCTTGCTTTCCAGATTTTATGTCTGAGAGCCACAGAAGAGATTAGAACAGCTTCTTGGTGCCAACAATGGTGTTGTAAGGAAGGTCGTTATGCCCATTTTAATAGTTAAACCGCTTGATTGAGGCTCAGAACTCAATTTCCCTTTATTGAATTCTCATACCAGAAGGATTTTGCACTGTCAGAGACATATCACAGTGTTACTTTAAAGATTCTCTAGACAGAATACAATTTCCTTTCCATTTTTATATTCAAAATTCAGTGACTTTTAAAAACTGCCTTCCTTATTGGCATTTTTTGTTGATTCCCCACCCTACCTAAAATAAGTGAATGCATAATATGAAGCAAAAATCTATGTAATCATCCAAATGGCTATTCTTGATTATAATTTGCTGAGTAAAAAAACTTCTGTTTTCTTGCAAATCAAAATGTGCTGGGAGATCTTAGAACAAATGATTTAATAAAGAGGTGTCTGAAACTGAGCTGGGTAGTTTTTATACATATTGCTTAAGCCTTGCCGCAAGCCTGTAAGCCTTCTGTTTCCATGTCTCGGATATGTGGGAGTTTATGAGCTAGGCTCTAGCATAAATGGTAGAGCCAGTATCCAAGCCCAGACACTGCAGAATTAAATTCTGAGTATCTCCACTGTACTCATGAAAACACAAAACAGATGGAGTCAGAGGTGTAGACATTTTACAGTCTAGTTGCTACAGATGGATGAAATGAGGAACAGGTCCCAGTGCTGTATGTAGCCCCCAAAAGCATTTCCCACAGAGGTGTGATTGACTCCATAGCTAGGGAAATTCTGTCAAAAAGCACTGTGTTACGAGATCTATCTATCTATCTATCTATCTATCTATCTATCTATCTATCTATCTATCTATCTATCTATCTATGTTTCTATCTTTCTATCTATCCATCTATCTACCTATCTATCTAGTCTATCTGTTGTTCTGTCTTATCTATCTATCCATCTGCTATCTATCTAGTCAGCCAGTTATATTTTTTTTGTATGTTCATGGTCTGAAATCAAGGTCTCCTGCTTTTTTTTTTTTTTTTGCTTTGCATGATTGCTCACAGTTGGTGCTCTCCTACCGAAGATATACTTCTACTGTGGCATTTGGCTAGTTGATTGGAGATGGAGGCTCACAGCTTTCCCTGCTCAGGCTGGCTTCAAACTACGATCTACCATGTCTCAACCTCTGGTAAGGCAGGGCATCTGGTGGAATACTTCAACTGTGTTATCAATTCCTGTCCTGTCATTCTATCATCTGCTAGGTGATCCCATTCCTTCAGGGTATGTCTGCTGAGAATCATTTAGGTTTCTTGGAACAACAGCCAGAAAGTTAGGTATTCCTTGGTTCAAAGGTCAAATGGTTTCACCAATCTCTCTTTGGTTCCTTCTGTCTCTCTGTCCCTTGTCTTTCTCCCTTACACACACACATACACGCACACGCACACGCACACGCACACGCGCACACACTGAGATTTCAACTATTGGCATATATCTATATTTGCATTCTTTATTATTATAATAATTGTTACAATTTTAGTTGTCCACTAATGTATAACTACTGTTGTAAACAGAATTTTGGTCATTATTATTAAGTAAGCAGTTTTTAGTCAGGAACACAAGCATTATGTAATTTCCCTGGCTTTTTTATAGGCCTACAGAGAAAGCAAAGTTGTGCTAAGAACAATACATTCTAGGCAATTTAGTTTCATATAACTCCTTTGTGGACCTAGAGCCTGGGTGCAAGAATGGCTCCCTAGAAAAGATTTCAGCCTTGGTGATGCCATCCATTCTTGGCATTAACATTGCAAATAATTCCATTACCTCCTTCTTTAACCACACCTTTCACCTGATGTCCAACTGCTTAACTTTGAAGTGATTATGAGGCATTCAGTTCTGGACATCTTTTTGTTATGGCAAATTGAATGAAACTAAACTAGCAGCAGATGCTGGTAGCTTATGCCTGTAATACTAGAGACTCGGGAAGCTGAGATCTGAGGATCATGGTTTGGAGCTAGCCTGAGCAGGAAAGAGCATGAGACTTACCTCCAAATAACTAGGAAAAAGTCAAAAGTAGAGCTGTGGCTCTAGAGGTAGAATGGTAGCCTTGCACAGAAAAAGCTAAAGGATAGTGTCCAGGCCCTGAGTTCAAGCCCCACTAGTGATACAAATTAAATAAACTAGAGGGCATCATGTTAAGAAATACAAGCATCACAAGTTCTCTCTCCAAAAGAACATGAATATAATACAGAGACTGTCTAGAGAGACAAACCAGTGAGAAAGGGAGAGCCAACAGAGAGGGAAATGGGGAAGCTATTTATAATGAAAGTACTTTGTATGCATGTATGAACATAGAAGAATGACACCCCTTAAAATTAGAAGAAGAAAAAAGAATGAGAGAAGGAAAATGGATCTGTGGCTCAAGTGGCAGAGGCTTAGCCTTGAGCAAAAAAGCCAAGCAAGAGTGCTTGAGGCCCTTAGGTTCAAGCCTCACTACTGGCAAAAAGGAAAGAAAAGAAAACACATCCTCATTACTTAGCTGGATTGCAGTCTCTCACACCTCTAATCCTAACTACTTGGGAGTTTGAGAGTGGGATCTGAGTATTGCAGTTTGAAGCCAGCCCAAGCAAAAAGCTGGAAATGGAGCTGTAGAGTGTTAACCTTGAGCAATAAAAGCTCAGGGACAGAAACCACACCCTGAGTTCAAGCCCCAGGACTGGCACCAAAAAGAGTGAGAGGGATATAGACAGAGAGAACAAGAAAGAGTAATAGATTGGATGAGTTCAACCAAATAACATATGTGTATATAAAAATACTACAGTGAAACCCCTTTGCATAATTAATATATTAATAAAAAATAAACCGAGTTATTTTAATACTCCTTTTATATGGAGGAGTTGACAGTGATCAAGATACTGTGTAGCCATAAATTAACATGCTGAGGTGGACATCAGTGGCTCACACTACTCAGGAGGCTTGAGATCTAAGGATCTTGGTTTGAAGCTAGCCTAGACAGAAAAGTCTGAGGGACTCTTACTGTATTTCCAAATAACCAGGAACACAAACAAACCAAAAGCAGAGGTGTGCCTCTGGTGGTAGAATGCCACCTTTGCCAAAAAGCTAAGCAAGAGAGTGAGGCCCTGAGTTCAAGTCCCAAGACTGGCAATCAATCAGGCAATCCATTAGTAAATTAATGCCACATGGAACTGAAACCTCTCTGAGCAACTATTTAAAGTTAATAAAAGGTAAAATTAATATAGGAAGGCCATAATTGGCTATTGCACATAGAAACATATCTAGTCCAAATTGTGATGTGCTGTATATATATCAGACCCTCCACTTCAGTCAATTAGTGAAAATAACCTGTATTGCTAATAATGGACTGTGGTGCTTTACATTCATAACATAATGTATGTTATTTATGTGTGTGTATGTGTGTGTGTGTGTGTGTGTGTGTGTGTCCATGTTTGTGTTTTCTGCAAATGAAAGCCACCGCCTTGTACAGGCCAAGCAAGCACTCTACCACTGAACTATTCCCAAGCCCATGTCCCTTACTCTTTCCTGCCATCTATGGGACAGGCACCATGGTTCTTACCATTTCAAAGATTAAGTCCCTAGAGGGGAAGTATTTGAGCACTGTTGCCCAGTGTATAACTTGCGTATTCTATACAGTTTCATTTTTGGGAGTAATATAATGCACAAATATTGCCCAGGATATTAGATGCCATTTACGTGTCTCCCAGTTCTCTCTCATAGAATCTATCTTTCTCTGGAGCTATGCTATCATTACTTCCTTCTTAAATATCCTTGTCCCCATTTCAGATCTCATTTTCTCTTTGAAATAAAATTATGCATGATTTAAAGGAAAAGTCATTTTCATGAAACATGGGCCTCTAAAATTGTAGCAAAAATCTATTTTTTGAAGTACAAAGAAGAGGGAAGTAGAGAGTGGCAAAATGTAGTTATGCGATAGAGGTGAACTTCTATGAGAGTGAACGAGAGAGAGATACAGAAACAGAGACAGAGAGACAGAAAGCAGACTTCTTAGGTATTTTCATGATACAGAAAATGCTCCAGACCTTTATCCATGCCTTCATCTCAGCTTTTATCTCAAGTATTGGTTGACAGGTAAAAGTACATATGGGTGAAACTTAGTGTCAGTAAGTCTTATCAAGGATGACGCTAGAAACCATTATGCCATTTTAGAATAAATTCAACTTAGCTGATTTGATCTTAGGCTGTCTTGCTTTGTAGCTGAGTGTTAGTGATACTGGTTGTTAGTATTTAAAGGCACATTATAGAAAAGACACATGACCAGAGGTACTAGCATCACACTGCGCTGCTCTTCAGGAGGGAAACATGAAAACTGAAGGGGAAAGTAGAACGAATCTATTCTTCCAATATACGAACTCCAGAGCTTATAGTCAGACAGTGTGGAGGACAGAATTGCTTCTCTCATTTAGAATGGTTTCCTCTATGGTTGATTGGACAAACACATATAAGTGAAACACATTACTTCTCAGTCTCCTAGCCCCTCCTTGATAAATAATACTGATTTCTTAGGAGTCACTATGAAGTACTTAAGGTAAAGATATTTGTAGTAGTGGGGTGTGAAATGGTTGGTGAGCTTGAAGGGTTCATGTGTTAATTCACTCATTCTTAGAACATGAACAGGGAATCCTCTATGCATTAGACCTGACCCAGGTACTAGGACCAGAAATAAACTAAGAGACTCACTATGATTTAGCTACTCACCAAGTTTTAGAGAATTTACTCATTTTTTAAAAAAATATTAACTTGCCTAGCAAATAAAATAATTACAAACTTAGAACCTACAGAATAAAATAAGGTATTTTCCAACTATCAACAGAAGATCCAAATTACCTAAAGAACTAAAAACAAAAAACACCCCATCAAATTATTAAAGAATCTCATCAATAAACAGCCAAATGAACTAAATAGACACTTCCCAAATGTAGGAAGACAAATGGCCAATAACTATGTGAAAAATATGGTTGATATCTTTAGTTATTAGGCAAATGAAAATCAAAACTCTGCTGAGATTCCCTCCCATCCCAGTCACCATGGGTGTGGGCAGAAAACAAAAGAAATGTTGGAAAAGATGTAAGGGAAAGAGAGTCTTTCTATGCTGTGGATGTAAATGTAACTGAGTGCAGCCTCTGTGGAAGTCAAAATATTAAAAATGGAGGCAGCTGTGTCCGTGGCTCTTTCTTATAATCCTACTTACTCTGGAGGGGAAGATTTGTAGGATCACAGCTCAAGGCTAGCCTCTGTTTGAAGTTCTTTAAGACTCTATCTCAATCAATAAAAATCTGGGCATGATGGAGCACATCTGTCATTTCACTACATGAGAAGCTGAGATTAGGACTGTCATTACAGGCAAGTTTAGGCAAAATGTTCATGAGACTCCACAGAAAATGCTGGAAGTGCTGGTGAGCATATGTCACCCCAGCTAAATCAGTTAGTGTAAATAGGAAGATCACTGTCCAGTCCAAGCAAAACAGGAAGACTCTATCTGAAAAATATAGCAAAAAAAGTAGATGACACAGCTCAAGTGGTAGAATGCTTGTCTACCAAGTGCAAAACCCTGATATAAATACTTGTACTGCCCAACACACACACAGAAACACACAGACACCAAACAAACAAACAAACAAAAAACACTTAAAAATGGAAACAACAAATGACCAGCCATACCATTCCTAGGTGTATACCCTAAAGAATGACAATCAGCATACACTAGAGATGCCTGGACAGCCATGGTTATTGTAGTACTGGTCACAATGGCCAAGTAATGGAATCAGTCTAGGTGCCCATGAACAGATAAATTGTTACATGAATACACAACAGAATGTTGTTCAGGCATTAAAAATAAAACTATGTTAGTTGCAAGAAATTAGATAGAACTAAAGATCAACTTGTTAAAGTATGCACACCCAGAGAGAGTATAAGAGAAGAGGGATTAATTGAGAATAGGAAGAGAGATGGAGATAATCAAAGTATGTTACATACATATATGAAAATGTCATAATAACACTTTCTTCCATATAATAATAATGACTAGATTTGTTATCATCTGAGTATGCAGAAGGGATGTGGCACTAATTTAAAAGAAAGAAAAAGGCAAAGTAAAATAATGAAGCAAAAAAGGGGAAAGTCAAAGGAATGTTTTCTACTTGAGACGAATTATAGAATGTTTACTTCCAGAAATAAGTGATTTTAAAAAGAGCAATTGCCTTTGTTCTTATGCATGTAAGCTGTGCCAAATAAAATGTTGCAAAATAAAAATAAATTCCTATTTTGACTTTAAACAATAATAAATACCCACATATATCATTATCCTTAAAGGGACATATGAATAGTTTACACTTTAGTTTGTTGTTAGAAAAAGAAGACTCTAGGAAGAAATGGGAAGTTGAACACTGATTGCAAAATTTCTCTGGCAAGTCAGCCATGTGGCAGAGTAGATGAGTATCAGCTTTGGCAAGGGTATGGTATCATGGGTACTTAAGTGGGAAAGAGAGGATAGAAGAGCAACTTGTTGCTTTTGAAGTACATGGACTAAATGCATACAAAGATCTTGTCATTAACCTTTGAATGTACTGTAATTGCATTCTTTTGGTAACTCACAGCATATTTTCCCCTACGTTTTAGAGACTCCCAATTTTTAAGGCTATAAACTAAAGCTCAACAGAGGGCCATTAAAATTCCAGTTTATTTGCCACAAAAATGTTCCCTTTTTATTTGATTTTGCTTTGTTCTTTTAAATTCTGACCATCAAGTCTTTTGTCTCTGTCCTCAAAAGCTAATTGGCTTATTTAGAGGCTTTATTTTATATTCCTAATCTAGGTTTTATCATATTTATTGATGTTAACATGAGAGACTCAAACTATGCACACCATTTCCATTTTTTTTTTCTCTCCTCAGGGTGTTTTATGACCCAAGCAGCCTTCTGGATCAGAAGATACTAGAAGTTGTAAAACTCACACAAAGCCAGGCTTTGTTATCAGCAGAAGGCTTCCAGCTACCTCATGCCTCTCCCACGTGCTTCTCCATTTCTCTATTCCACTTTCCGGAGCCCATCTGGGGCGGAGGATGGAATAAATGGAATCAGGATCTGAATGCCTGGGGTCCAGCTGCAATGCATGGAGGTGAGTCCTGTGTGGCTAAGAACATGTCTGTTTCCATGTGCCAAACACTCTGCTCCTACAGGTTTCCTCCAAGGCCACACCTGCTCCTCTGGGAAGGACTGTGGCCAGCCCTCTTTATCTTGGAACCAGGTTGATCCAGTTTCCACTGCTCTGAGCCCAGGTACAGTCGGTCCCTTTCCAACCCTGGTCTCTGAGCACAGCTGACATCAACAGGTGTTCCCAAATACCTGTCCTGTCAATGGCCAGCATTCTTTTCATGAGTAAAGTATTTTATAAACATTTAAAATAGAGTATATAGGCTCTTTCCCCACTCTATGCTGGGAATTTGACAAATACTGAGAAGCACATATGTAAAATGTATGTAATACATGTAAATGTAGGTGTGTATTTTACACACATGTAAGTGTATGCAAAAAAGTAAATGTAAATCATATTTTACATTTAAAATGTAAAATATTACCATTATTGGTGTTTTGTAACATTACACATTGATCTCTCTCCTCTCTCTCCCTCTCTCTCTTTCTCTCTCACTCTCTCTTTTTTTCTCTCTCTCTGTTGGCCCTAGAACTCTAAAGCTTGAGCTCATGGATTGTGTGTGCTGTCCTTGAGCTTTTTTTTTTTATTGTGAAAATACCATACATAGAGGTTACAATTACATGTAAGGTAATGAGTACATTTCTTATCAAGCATTGATACCTCCTCCTTTGTTTCCCCTTCCTATCCCTTCCCATCTCCCCTTCCACTGTCCCCCCCGCACCCCCTCTCCTACCCCTGTGCCAAAGTTGTAAAGTCATTTTTCAACATAATGACTTGTACATCTCATTGTTGCAATGGGTCCATCTGTATCCCTACTTAAAAAATTTGTTTTTTTCCTTCCCCTCCACAAATTATACCAACATCAAATACAGTGAGAACAGGGATTATACCCTGGAAGAGGGACATACAAAGCAACAAAGAAATCATCTTATAAATATGTTAGAAACAATCGCAAGAAAGAAAAAAACGGTTGAATACTTATCTTGGGGTTCATTCCCCTAACATCAACTTAGCTGACCTTTTCTGCTTGTCTCAGACATATACTAGTTATTGCAAATAAGGGAAACCATGGGACCTATGTTTCTTTGGGCCTGGCTTACTTCACTTAATATAATTTTTTCCAAGTCTTTCCATTTCCTAACAAATGGGGCAATGTCATTCTTTCTGATGGAGGCATAGAATTCCATTGTGT